ATGCTGCCCAATATCAGGTGTTGTACGGTGTATAACGAGTATGGTTTAAATGTTATTATACATTCCAACAACTCATTACAGCAAGTATGAATGTTGTAATCGCGTCGTCATCTTCGATTCATATGGATGAATCTCTTTAGTCTTTCGATTTTTGAGATTTTCACAATATAATTGACTTTTATTGATTTCCAATTTCCCCTGTTATTATTGCTTTGACTCATTTTTTGTTGACGAGGTTCCTGCAGGTCTTGAGATATATTTTATGATGTGAATTAGATTAACGAATGGAATTTTATACTAAGGATGTAACAAACTCTTATTTAATTCACACATATCTTTCGTCTTATACGGGTGTTTGTATGGTATGAACGTATAATTGATTGGTTAGTGGTGGTGGTGTGGTTTTTGTCGTGGGGAGTTTGGATATATTTTTACTGATGGTTTTGATATCAACTAAGTGCGGTTAAAGGTTTCGTTGTCACAGGTGGGTTGTCGTTATGAAATGTACACTTCCGCGAAGAAAACAACGGATATACGCAATTTCGATGGTTTACGATTTATATAAATTGCCTTACTATGCTGTGGTTTTATTTGTGAACATCAGATGTTGTAGGGGCTGTATATTATTTGTTTACTATTGATTGATGATATGATAGTTGCATGCTAAAATGGGAGGCAATCATTTCACCGACAAATCTTCACCAACATTATTTCGAAGTTATCTTTTTTTGGTAGTTAATTGTCGGTGAAATGATTGTCGATGAAATAATACGGACCCGCTAAAATACATTATATAATTGGTCAAATAATAAATCTAAGTTAATTTCGTCATTTTCGAGAAATGCATACCAGAATAGAGATGTAGGGCCCAATAATTTTTAGAATAAATTATAATATTAATATTCCTTACTGAGCGATATTAACTAAATAAGGAAACATTGTCCGAGACTTGAATGGAGGACATACTCTTGCAAAGTAGGTAAATCAGCGATTTGGATAACTCATGGTAGACTCGTTAAAATTGGATTCGTTAAAATGATAACTGAACGAATCGCTATTTATAAGAAAATTTATATTACTTTTGCGATAAAATGTGAAATTTGAATGTAAATTGAGTCAGGTTTTTGTGTATATATTAATATGCGATTATATATGGAAGTTGATTGAGATTGATTTAAATTATTGAATTACTTATGGCGTATAAGGGCAAAATGGCAAAATTTCACAGCGCCACAAAGAATTTTTGCAACTGCGGAACCGTTATCGATGTGCTAAATCGAAAAAGTTTTTTGAGCAGTAATAAAGTAGAGAACACTGAGCATTGCGGATAGTCCACACTAGGCAAAAAGCATATTTGGATAGGAGATGTTCTCTCTGAGTGACAACTTTCGTCGAAGGCATTAAAGTGTAAAATAGTTTTTAAATGCTAATAGAGTAGAGAACATTAAGCATCAGAAAGTACACATGTTCTCTCTGAATGACAAGCACTTTTTTTTATAAGTTAGAATGTTTTTTTATAATTTAATATAGGCGTGAAAAGCTAATACTAATGTCATGTGATAAGGGAAAAGTTGGTTTTTTCCTAATAAATAAACAGAGAGAGCGGGCAATCACTCGAGTAGTGAATCGTGAATCATGATATAAAACCGGCGGGTTGGTGCGAAAAAGTATGGTCCTATTCATTTCATGTTCCCACTTTTTTGTTCCCATTCGGCAGGAACACAGAAAATGAATACATCAATTTTTCCCTATTCTGTTCCTATAACTAAATGCGTAGATGATCTGCAACTGACTGCCAATCAGATTTTAGCTTAAATTCGAGAGTTAAAAAAAAGTTGATTAATATCGTTACGTTCATGAATAATAGGTCTCTGCTGCTACTTCGACAAGCACTGTTACTGGCAGTACTGTATATGTCAGTCCTTCACCTGGCGAAAGGTTGATTTTCTCGTAGGAGTTGACATAATAATAATGGGATCGTGTGTTCACATTCATTTCTTTTTTTGATGAGGAACAAAATGGACACAAGTCTGATCGTGATGTTGTGTCCATTTTGTTCCCACTTTTTATTACCTAAATTAGATATCCAACCCAAATTTGGAAGGTGAAAAAAGGAACAGAAACAGGAACATGAAATGAATAGGGCCTATGAGATCTGCGAAAATCGGTAACAAGCATGAACAGATCATACTAGAAATGGATAATCACGAAAAAGTTGGTTTTTTTTGCCACCACTTAGTTAAGTTTCAAAGGCGGACACTGATCAAACCTGTTTTTTATTGATATTGAGTCTTAAAAACATTATCGTTGACTATTAATTATTGTAAAATTTTACTTTATTTGTAAATGGATTATTTTGCTTACTATTTCATATATATAATTACAGCCTTTTTAAAACGTCGGGGTATTGACTTAAAAGTGATACATAATAATAATAGAATACATCATAGTGTTTAGTCGTATGTTCAGTAACCACATCTCACAGCAGTTATTGAGCCTCGTTGTACGAAGGAATTCTTAGAACAGTTGATCAATTTTTCGTGAAAAGCATTACTCCGGTAATGTTCATGTGCAGTGTTTTCGGCCGTATATGTTATACATCGTTTTGTGAATATGTAATTATTTCCGTTATATGCATATCCGAGTCATTATAAAATCACCGTCTTTTCAAAACGTCGTTAAAGGGGTGATGCATAATAATAATGGAATACATTGTGTTTAGTCGTATGTTCATTAACCACATCTCGCAGCAGTTGTTGTACGAAGGAATTCTTCTAACAGTTGATTTTTCGTGAAAAGCAATACTCCGGTAATATTCATGTGCAGTGTCTTCGCCTGTATATATTATAGTGGGTATGTAAATAAAAGTGTTTGTGTTGATTTATACGGGCTGCTTTGATGTTATATTTCGGCGTTTCACGGAGCGTCGTCGTCGCAAGCTTCTCCTACTTTTTTTACAGCTTTCTACCAAGGTAAACACCAGCACAGCAGTGTAGTAAAAACAATGAGAGATATACCATACCAATTACCACACGATCGATGACCGTCAGTTGTGTAGTAGAAAAATGTCCATGAACGTCCTCCTCGATACCTACTGGACGGTACTCCTCCTCCTCCTTTCCCGCTACTTTCGCTACTTTCGCTACTTCCTCTACTACTACTCCCTTCTCCTCCTCTGCCGCCTTCAGACAAGTACATTTATATGTGTAAGTAAAAGTATCAAGATAATAAATAGATTTACTGCTTTGGAGCTTATTCTCATTATGATTCAGGTAGTTGTTGCCAGTACCAAAATAACACCCAAAAAATTTCGTTCCTTTTATAATTGGTTGAGTATGCAAGTTTGTATGAAACTGTTTTATTCTAAAAAGTGACGATATATACATGTAAAGTTCTGGAAAATTAATCGCCCGATTCCCTGAGGTTGACCCTCAAAGTTAGTTTTTTTTTGGTAAAAAACATGCATATTGCTTTATGCGAATGGCAATTGCTTGCTGAACACATTCGTGGGTGTTTGCAATTATATTTACTCTGAATGGTAATTTAAGAAAGCATAGACCAAACAGAACGCCGTATTATATTAACGATATGATGTGTCACTTCACGTGTCCCACGTGTATCACTATTCATCATACTATGCGTCATTGGTAGGGTACAGAAACAGAGGTCATACTTTAACGTTAAGCCAATGGTATTGCCATTTGTTGAAAGGACAATAGTAAGCAAGAATGGAACACGATCATTGTCGAGCCATACCACAATATAATGGATTTTCTTACGCAAGTAATAAAAACAACATATCGTACGAATCGAAGTCTGACATTGGGAACCCGCAACAACATGCAATTTTAGTAATTAATTGATTTTAAGACATTTGGTGACGGACAAACATTTGTTGAAATCGCTTAACTTGATATGCAACATTATAATCAACCGAATAATAAACCACACATATTAAATGCTGTTGAAAGAAATGTAGATTATATGCCCGTATTTTAATATCTGATAAATTAATTGGCCAAGAGAATTTTATATACGTATAGTCAATCTTGCATAACGAAACGAAAATTAAGAAAGATGTTTAATTACGTAAACAAAATAAAAACAGCCAGAATAATGCACCAAACAAGTTGCCGGTACAATTAGCCAATCAGTCTCGTTTGTAAAGGATTCCGTAGCACATTTGCAATATAGGGCACCTACACTATCCATCACACACTACTAGAGACCCAATAATGTTACACAAATACTTTCAGGAAAGATCACTTTTGTCGGATTAAAGACAGAGACTGCTTTGCTTGAATTGTTAATGGAGTTGGGCTTGAGGATATTCAAATAATACAACTTTTTCCATTCGAAGTCTCTTCAACAAAGAGGCATTTCTACGTTAAGGTGTAAGTGAAATTCTTGTCAGTATCAGTAAATCACAGACACAGAGTCGAATACAGCAAGCCCATCATATCTCTCTCCGATGCAAAAGATTTGACGCAGGAAAGTTTGGACAGATTGAAAAATATGATTATGTACTACGCAGGTCAATCTTTACGCACTGTCGCTATATGTTATCACAACTTTGAAGAATGGTCTCCGGCATATATACAGGTGGAAAGATAATGGAAGGCCAAAGTTTAGAATCTACCGCTGAGAGGGACGCTATTATTCCAAATCTACAAGTCCCGAGGATAAGAGGATACTCGTTAGCAGACTAAAGAATTAGGTGAATTTGTTGCTGTGACTGGGAGACGGTACTAACGACGATCTTGTACCGAAGACCACGATATCGAGTTCTCTACTGGGACAGAAGTAGCCAAAGAAGCATCAGCAATTATTCTGATTGATGACAACTTTTCGAATATTGTTAAAGTCATGATGTGGAGAAGCAGTGTAAATGATGCAATTAACTGACTGTTAATGTGACGGCCGTACTATTGACTTTTATTTCTGCAATAAGCAACGATGAGGAGAACATCAGTGTTAAAAGCTGTGCAACTACTATAATTATGGACACTTTCGCGGTTCTGGCTCTTGCAACCGACCCTCCCACGTCCGATTTACTTGATAGGAAACCTTCGAGCCACGTACTGACATGTGGAAGATGATCATTGGACATAGTTCAATTGGCTGTTACTCTTGTTAAAGCGCCTTTTATACAGAGAGGAGAAGCATTGTTGAATTACGGGGATGATCAGTTGCAAACTTTATTTTTTAATACGTTTGTGTTCTTGCAAATATTCAACAAGCTGAACATATTCAAGGGAATTTTGGCTAATCAATTCTTTATGTTTATATTCGTTCTGATGGTTAGCGGACAAGCATTGATAGTTAACTATGGCGAGCTTGCATTCCAAATGATTAGCTTAAACGGAGAACAATGAGCTATTTCTTTAAGTCTTGGATTTATATTTATTCCGGTTGGAGTGATAAAAGACAATTCGCGGTGGTAGACTACGCGTCTAGATTGCGAGCAGCCAAGAGATCGCTGCAGCAACCATGGTTCCTAGTTTAGTCGCTTGTATAAGTCGGAGCAGGATGGTCACCGAATGCGGCGAATAGACCGTCTCGACAGCAGAGTAGAATCAGACTTAAAGTTCATATTATTTGCGAAAATCCCAAAACGTACGACAAATTGCGGCCTGACAGTACAGGCTTAGAGTATATCTCAATAAACTTTGTGCGTGGTTAATGGAATGAGTTACCCAACTAAATGTCAGCCAAGAAAGCTTTTGTTTACTATTACTCATCCTGATCAGCAAGGACTTTCGTTGCAAAGCGCCGATATTCGTCAAGTATAGAAGTCATTGACCATCTTTGCAATTTCCCTAGACAACATACCGATGTTTGCCCTTATTACAGTGAATTAGAACCGGATGATCTGTATCAAGCTGCATCGTTACTGATTGCCACATTATAAACTAGAGAAAGAAAGCTTTCACTAACCAAGAACTTTTACTAACGCAACTTTTGTTCGATCTCAATGAATGGTTCCCAAAGTCTGGGTTAATACGCACTTTTGTGAATTATCACAAGCGTCGAATCGATTACATTACCTTATACTACCCTACCTAGTCGATTACGAACTAATGCAGTTCGTTAAAATCGTCCCAAACTAAATGAATTCGTTCATGCACAAAAACAGCTTATTGCCTCACATTATTGGCTTCTGAGAAAAGGGCATTTGCTTGTTGGATGTGAAGGTTTAGGCTAACAATATCAGTCGTGAAATCACTTTTGTATGACACTTGTTGTATGTCCTACATAAGATTTTTCAATATCTCCCTTAAAAAGATTATTTTGTATGGGGAGTTATTACCAAAGAAGCTATGTCATGATATACTAAATTTTCAAACTGACAAAGATTATAAACCAAAGACTCCACTGTTACCATCAAGAACAGGCAAGCATCAAAAGCAGGACAAGGATATGATATTGATTCACTATCATGGATCTCATCAAAGATTGCGGAAGCAACAAGGCAGCTTCAAGAAAATAATAATCAGAGAAAAAAATCTATAAAGCAAGATGGAGCTTATAAGCTTACTCTGCTTTATAGACAAAGTAGGGATGGTGATCAAGTTGCAAAATTTAGGGAATTGTGTAATTGCAAAGGGCCCATCAGATACTGATGAAATACTTGGTGGATATAACCCACTTTCATGGGGTTCTAATTATGGTTATGCTGAAACAAGTGAAAGTTTTATATTTGCATTAGATAAAAACATGGATCAAAGTATAGTAAGTTTTGTTAATAATAGTTCAGGAGCAATTGACGATGATGATAAATGTTCCCCTGACTTTGGGAAAGGCAGTGATTTATATTTTAGTGATAATACCTGGAGAAGACCTTGTGCTGAGAAATCTACCAACTTCCAATAAGAATTCAACAAATTATCCTGAATGGGCTGATTGGGAGGTGTTTTTGTTTCTAAACTTTAATTTAACCTAACCTGAATTGCTTTATATTTATATTGTCAAGTTTATGTAATTCAATTGGCATATATTAGAATTATATTGTTTGGTTGAGTTTCTGTGATCCTTATTATTATTAGGCACACACAAAATACTGATTTTACTACCTAACAAAGAGTCACATAAATGATTAAAGAATAACAGTCACTGGACATTTGATTTTATAAGACTTTATTGCTTAACTACTGATACCAGCTATAGCTAATTTTAACATGTTACAACTGACTCTTGTCAGAGAAACAGATGTGCAACAAAGAATGCGGCAAAAGGCCAATTAGATAAGTATAGTAGGAGGAGGGGGAAAGAAGAGGAAATAGCTGGGTAGATGATAGACTTAATTTTAGGTGTTGATGGCCAAGAAGGTAAAGGAAAGAGAGATTTATTTTGAAGTAGGTTATGATAGAAAGAATGTAGATATCAGGGAGGGAGGAGATGAGGAACCAAATGTGTAAGAAGTATAAGATGTCCAAATTGTCCAGATAAATGAGGAAAAGTACACCTTTAGCGTTCAATCGTAGGTGTAAACAAATAAAGAACGCAAAACTCCAGATAAATGAGGAAAAATGAGATGGATTATATGTTTATGATTAGAGAATATGGAGTGAGATGAAAGTAGGTACAAAAAGGAAGATAAAGAGAAAGGAGATTGTAAGTGTTTGAAAGAGGATGTTATTGGACATAAGTATGAATAGAATGGAAGTAAGAGGGCAATAAAGACAAAAGTTTGAATAAGGTGATACTAGTGACAGGGAGACCAACAGGGAGAGAGAAATGAGAAATTTTCTAGAGTAAGTCTTGACCTGGCTTGTCTCAATTTATTATATTACATAATTATAAAATTTACTTTCGGCTATAATGTAATCGATACATCCATTTCTTTATTGATAACATCAAATCAAAAACATGAAAATGTGGCGACTCTGTAATACATTTAATATTAAGAGAATTCGCTCTCTTTATCATGTAACTCATCGCGAGTATCAACTGCTGTATAACTAATAATTCCTAAGGTGATATAAACCTTGATCCAAAGAATCGAAGGTCCAACGATCGAACAATCCACCAAACTTGAGCCAAACTTAATGATCCAAATTGGTCTATTAAATTTTCCAAAATCTTGCATATGAATTGAGAATATATCAATATTATCATGATTTTCTCTTCTTATTCCTACTAATATAATAATCCCAAGTGCAAATGCTATAATAAGAGGTATTACTATAAAAACATAAGCCGACGAGTCGACGTAACCTTTCTCCGCAGCCAGAAAAAGAAAAACTAAATCTATAACAAACGTTGAGAAACGTATGATTGTTACTATTAATAAAGGGTTGAGAGATAGTTTGTCCATAATTCGTGAATGTATTGTGATACAACAGCAAATAACTTGACTAGTAGTAATGTTGGCTATGAGATAAGTAATAAAAAAAAAATCACGAGTAGTCTTGTAGGCCCTGACCCAGAACCAAATCTTTAAAGAAAGTTGCGCATAGTTAAGAATAATGGCAAGAAAAGTTAACCAAGCACGACTGAAAATACTGGTATCAGTCTTATTATTTTTAGCAACCAAGAGTACCGGAGTGAGAACCGTGATCAGAAGGTCGAAGACCGTCTCGATAACTTCATTAGATAAACCGAGGTTTTCTTTAAAAGCATTAGCCGAGTCGGAAAATCCAAGGATAATTAATAACAAGAGCTGAATATGCCGAAAAGAAAAATTTAATCGATTTGACTGGAGGACACGCGAGTCAATTAGGTATCGCTTCTGACATCGAGTATCTTTCGAAAGCTCGGAAGTAGAAACTTTTTCTCTAAAATTGTTTCTTACAAAATAGTTATCAGTACTCGAAGACATATTCCCAATGGCGAGTTTGACGGAATAATAATTTATTGGTTGCTAAATAGGCCGATATTTTATATGTATGTCGTATGTAAATCCCGTCACTATGTAAATCCTGTTTAGGATCCCCAAAAACCGCACTTACATTATGTAAATCCCATCCGGAGTCCCCAAAACCGCATTTACATATGTAAATCCGGTATTTACATAGTGACGGGATTTACATACAACATGTATTTTGTCGTGTGTAACCTCAAAGATATATAATTGGTCGGATAAGGGCTGCTCAACGGAATCATTCCTCCGACTATTTCCATTACTTACATAGTATATACAGACTACAGAGATTTTCTGATAAAAGATTTTCATATATATGGTTTACTAGTAAGCTTCAAGGCCTTTCTGTATAGTAGATATGGAAGTGTGTTTGAAATTTTTGAAGTTTCAACCTTCTGAAGGCAAGGCCTAGTTTGAGCTCTTTGTAAATGGGCTGAAGTTTATGCATGCACCTGATGCATGAAAATCTCTGAGCTTTTGTTTGAATCAATGTAATAAATGGTTTTTTTCGTATATTAAGTATTACTCCGAAACCATCCGGCGAAATCCATTCATACATTATTGCTGTCTCTAATATTAAACGGTGGAGTAAGTAAGTTTCAATGCACAATTAAATTATTCTTTCTGTTACTGAATTTGAGCGAAGCGAACTTGACAGGTAGCATCCAAAAAGCAGTACAGTCAACTCTCTTTATAAGAACCTTTTTTGTACGGACTCCGATGCCTTATAACGATTACCTGTGCTTTGCCACATCGTATATTCTCTATAGTATATTCTTAATGGTACTACGCTGCATGTAAGAACCTGCTGATTGTAAAGACCTGCTGGTTTTAAGGACCGATTTTTTGCTTTGCCTGAGGTGGTCTTTATAGAGTTGACTGGTATACGTAATCTTTTGGTCAAAAAAATTTTTTTTTGTTTAAAACAATCGAACATGAGACTGTAAAAACATATTTGTATAATATGCCGTGAAATCTGACGTCAAATTTTTGCACTGCTTATATCAATTATGATATCCCCAAGAAAAATAAAGTTGGTGCAGTTTACGGAGTGGTAACAAATGTTCACGTGATACGAATATTAATAAATTATGCGTTCTTCGCCACATACAGTTTATTGAAATATTTGACCTATAGGTATGTTGCGTTGCATTAGTCTTCTTTTCTCTAATTTATCTCTCTAGAAATTTGTATACTTCAATTACCTTGTTGGTAATAGTGATACTATTACAATTTATTAATTGGACTTTATGTTAGAATGACTGACTTTACGACCTGGTATTGATAGCACTTAACATTAACGCTTGAATTGAATGATGACAAAATCCTACCAATTATTATTGTAATTTACATTTAAAATCACGTGGGTGCATTTAGAGAATTAGGCGGAATTATCAAAATCCATTGAGCGAGCAGAATATAAAGGTTTTGGATGTACAGTAGGTTCATCGTCGTGAAGCAATTTTAAAGTCTGTGATAATCTACTCGATAAGTTTACGTCATGTTTAATATGGTCGATATTCATTGACTGGCTGGAAAAATTTGTTCAAACTATGCGCGCACATAATCGACGAACAATAATGTTAATGGATAATACGGCATGTCACAGAAACTTACTAATGTTACCCTTTATTTCTACCTCAAACAGCTGCTATATTGAAACCTTGTGATGACGCTGGTACAATCTGGTCAATACGAAAAACTCTGTACTGACGTTGATAAATTTACTATTAAAAATGCTATTTTATAGTAGCAGAGGCAGGAATAAAGTCAGCCAGGCGCAAGACGGGGGATAAACGACTAGGACTAGAAAAGTTGTTTGAATAAAAAAATTCAGGAGAGGACCTTATTACAGTACTTAATAGATTGCCTACCATACACTAACAAATTGACAGCCAAAGGTTTGTTTAAGAAGTGGTTTTGTTATTTAAGTCAGAACTTTCAATTGGACCCAGTCAGTGATCAAAACATAATTGATTTAATACGAGGATAGTGAACAATTAGAAAATATCGAAAATTATTTTAAAGAGAAGCTTATTCCGCCATTCAGACTACATGAATATTATGGAACAAAAACGTAATGACGGCGCACAAGGTAGCGGGAGAGTTATACTGCGTGACATAACAGTATGAATATGGGAAAAAACAATTAGATTGGTTTATAGCGTCAAATAAGATAACTGTGGTTGCATAACTAATGGTTGTACAATATGCAGTCTCGTTCTAACAGGCCAAATTAAAATACCTGCCATTACGCTTTTTTCGTATTAGATAATAGTGTAATTTTATAACAAACACTGACATTTACTCGATATATTACAGAGTCACGTTGATGTCATGTTATCATTATCGCTATCATCGTGATCAGTTTTACGGTGTACCCTAGGCACCTCAGATCTCAGACCTCAGACCTCAGACCTCAGACCTCAGATCTCAAACCACTATATACAATATGTATATTTTTGTCCATCCTTTTTAGATCACATTTATAAGATAGACGGATATTTGGCACTACTAAGTAAAATTTTATTAACCGTTTATAACTTTTGGAACATATTTATAATGCAAATAGAAAAGGATTGCAAAATGGTGCCATTCCATAAATGGTCCTTAAAATCGAGATTTTAAAGCATAACATAAGAGATATTCAGATTTATTAATTTTCTATTTCCGTCGATTTTAGCAATCATCTTATTCCATGTCCCGATTTTCATTTCTTTCTAGCATTGTACAACGTATATACCTATATAGTAAAACGCCATAGATTTAAAGAATAGAAACACATTATGGACACATAATATATACAAGTGGCTCTCGATATATAAAAACCCTTCGATATAAAAAATTTTCGATATAATAATAAGAAAGTGTTTTTGCTGGATCCGATTTAAAATCTTATAACAAATAACTCTCGTTATAAAAGATTTTGATATAAGAAAAGAATGGTCTACGAAGTAAGACCTAACTGGCGAAAATAAGCACTATGATAATGATTGTTTATTGAAGATTCTTAAAGCTTTAATCTGGACGAGTTAGTTGCTGAGATGGAACAACGTACTGGGAAGGTAGTGTCTATACCTACGCTATGGTGGTCGTTGAAGCATTATGGAATTACTCGGAAAAAGGTTGACTATTCAGTGTACAGTGCACCCTCCCTAAATGCACACATTATATAAACTCTCCATAAATGCATGGTATGGTTCGGTCCCAGCTTATAAGAACATTATATATTTTGCTCTGTAAATGCACACTCCCTTTAAATGCACACTTTTGATTTTTTTTTTACTATGGTTCCGACAACGTGCACTTAGAGAGAGTTCACTGTAGTTTGTCAACACCGAGCTTTTGCTCACTATAATCGCATTTTACAAAAATCTCTAAATAAAAAAAAGCAAGCCAGCTAATATCCTTACGCCACATATGGGAGTTCGTGTAACGACATTGAAATTTCCGGCGGAACCTTAAGCTATTCCTACCAGCATTAACGGCAGTTAGTGACCTTTATTGGCTTAATACTCGCGAATTTCAAGATTCGATTTTGTATACAACCTTTGGGTTCTACGTTGGTTCTTCCGATGGATTAATCTCGAAAGTCTATCGGTTGGGAAAGTTTTCAATAGCAAACGCGTTCATAAACAATTGAATAATAACTCTGATGCTTAAGTTCCGACTAATTAGATGGCAAGATCGAATTTGTTAACCGCTGATATCGAGAAAGCGTGTTATACTAACCAGCGATCGACTACAACAAACCAGGAAAATAACGAATAAATGAATAAATTAATATTTATAACACTGTTTATTGAAATAACAATTATAAGGATGAATCTTAAAATCTGAAGATATCTAAAACTACAAATGCTTATATACCTTCAATCGTTTCACTAAAACTGATACTAAATTTCAGAACGGTTAAACTTGATATCATATTGGGACTTATCCAATTCCAATGTGCCGCAGACCGGAGCCACAAGGCGGAAATCACGGAAAAATACGTGACCATTTGAGTCTGAGTCCATTTCGATTCGACAACTGCCGTGGTATGCCCATCAATGTTTCAAGCGGATAAATTGTCCCAACACCAAATACATAAATGCTAATTGAACTATGCTCTGTTGTCCAATGATCATCTTCCACATATCAAATGAAATCAGTACGTGGCTCAGGTTTCCTATCAAGTAAATCGGACGTGCAAGAGCCAGAGCTGCAAAAATGTCCATAATCATAGTAGTTGCAATGCTTTTAACACTGATTTTCTCCTCATCGCAGAAATAAAAGTCAATAGCACGGCCGTTACATTAACAGTCAGTTGGAATTGGAGAAACTTCTTTGGCTACTTCTGTCCCAGCAATACCCATAGAGAACCCGATATCGGTGGTCTTCAGTACAGGATCGTCGTTACCGTCTCCAGTCACAGCAACAATTCACCTACTAACGAGTATCCTCTTATGTACTTGTAGATTTGGAATAATAGCATCCCTCTCAGCGGTAGATTCTAAACTCTGGCCCTTTCCACCTATATATATTCCACATTGGCAGTCAATACATTATCACCAGTCACATATACATCGGCCTTTACAATTAAGTACCACCTCCCTAACTCTCAGTGGATCCTTATACCAACGATTCCAATAAGCGTGATATCGTTAGATAAATCCACAAATGTAATCTGTCTTCATTAGAAGTGTTCATATTTGCCGGAGACCATTCTTCAAAGTCGTGATAACACATGGCGACAGTGTGTAAAGATTGACCTGCGTAGTACGTAATCATATTTTTCAATCTGTCCAAACTTTCTTGCGTCAAATCTTTTGCATCGGAGAGAGAGATGACGGGTTTGCTGTATTCGACTCTATTATGTATCGGGATTTACTGGCAAGAATTTCACTCGCACCCTTAACGTAGAAACGCCACTTTGTTGAAGAGACTTTGAATGGAAAAAGTTGAATATCCTCGAGCCCAACTCCATTAACAATTTTAATCCGACACGACAAAAGTAATCTTTCCGTTGGGTATCCCGTCGGATTCCCTAGTTGTGTGATGTATAGTGTAGGCGGCCTGTTTTTGAGAATGTGCTATCCTTTACAAACGAGACCGATTGGCTAATTGTACCGGCAGCGACCGCATCTTGTTTGAGTGAGGATGCGTTGTATTCCAATGTAGTAAGCATTGTGAGTATATAGGAGTCGTTATGACAAATTAGGTGGTCATATGTTTTCATTTACAATTTGAACATCTTCGATATGCAAGCAATTATTTCCAATGACGTACACATGGACACGTGAAGTGACACATCATGAGATTGTAGACAATGTACGTGTATTCGGTAATTATTGTCATTAACGTTATAATCATTGTTGCGGACTTGCGCAGTAATCATGATATAGAAGAAGGAAGAACCCGTAAAAAAGGAGAATCTGCAGAAGAATGTATCCAACTTTAGCATTATTCTGAAGAACGGAGACAGCATAATCAGATGGAACGACTACATTGTATAATCATCTTCTATATGTTTGTTGACATCATCGCATATTATTAATCATAAAGTGCAGCTTTATTTGCTGAACGCGTGACTTTGCAGCAATGGGTGAATGCATAATATGAGTTAGTACAGCAATTTCATATGCAGATTGTTTGATTCCCATGATGTTATATTACATCACTCTTCGTTCACTGTGCTTTTTTGTTATTTCCCCCACCCCCTAATACGCCCACTCACACCTTGTTCTACATTTAAGGGCAAATTTACGACGCCCCTCACTTGGCGACGACACAATACCTACCCGTCTCCAGATGATCTGCAGCTCATATAAAGGGTTGGAATTTATCAGCAGCCAGCTGATAGAGATAACTTTAATAATAACAAACACATTTCATATCGTAAATTTGTTTTCATCTTTGATTTCGTTTCGATGATAGTATCACCCTTACTGTATGCGCCTGTTTAACACATAAGTTGGTGTTTCAGCTTATGTTCAAAGAAAGCAGATTTGAAGTTTATGAATGACGTGAGAATAATGAGGGTCTACGTTTCTTTTTTAAATTAAATTATTCAACAATTTAATTTACATATAGAGGCATTTTTTTTGTAGTTTATTGAAATTGTAAAATCGCATAAGTTTTAACAAGCAAAAAGATTTGACAGCTGATCTTTATTACACTAACAATAAATTTGTGCTATTAATAAGTGCAAGCGCAATTCGCTGTTATTTCTTACCCCTGGTATGGAATCATGGATTTTCCGCAACACCGAGGCATGATAAATGTATCATACATATAATCGTACATGATCGACAACCTGGTTTATTTATTTCATATTTCTCTCTCATTATCTATCTTATCTTGACAATGATCGATTGTTCAAAAGCTGTCGAGCAGTGCATCAAAAAAAATAATACGGAATATGGTTTGACAATTAAGCCCAACCATCGACTATGGTACAAATATATTAAAGTTACTATAAAAAAGATTCCAATAGTGTTGTAATAATTATCATTGATACCGTATACAGCAAGTCGACTTCTTTATAGTAAGTATCATTGTAAACGTATATTATCATATCTCGATCAGATAAGACCATATTCACATGATTTGAAGTTATACTAACCATAATAGACGAACAAGAAAAAGTCGTATGTATGGAAATACTTACCTATAGCGTTTGCAAACGCCTCTTTCTCTGTTGACATAATAAAGTTTCGATAATAAGTGCATGAAGCTTTATTCTTTAACGTTGTAAAAAGAGAAAATGTTCTTTGTTCTTGATTGCTCTGTCCCCCCGCTACATTTTTTTACCTATTATCCCACACATATGCTACGTCTTCATGACCTCCTCACCTTATCGCTATGGGGCGATTGTTATTTCTGTTGTACATAATTGTATAGTAGGCACAACACAAGATGACATTCATTCAGCGCGCTAAATCTTTTAAACCGTCAAAACAAATTTGTGTGTGACCTGCCTAATCAATTTATTTATTACCATTAGGGGGCTACAGTTGTGCATGGGAAAATCTCTGTTCTCAGTGCATGTGGCTTTGGGAGTACCCTGCTTTTCACAATACAGCATATATTTTCGGGAATACTTTGTTTATGAGAACCATCTCGGCAAAGCAAAAATCGGTCCTTATAGACAGCGATCCTTACATGCAGCGTAGAATATACGATAGAGAAATACGATAAGAATGATAATAGGTTATGTGTTCTCGTGATCTGTATCAACAACTCGATCTGATCGATGAGTCACATTTGTTGCACAGCAGACGGTGATCTGTCTGTCTATATATCTAAACATATTGTATGTGCATGAGATATATATAATGTCAACAGAAGAGAGAATGTGATAGGATTAGATAAGCCTATGGTTAATGCAGTAATGATAGGTGCCGATTTTTACGTTTAATTATAAAATATATTAACTATAATGTAGTTCTTTGCAAGGGACATAGCCTTCATGTATTTTATTACTCTCATCAGCTTACCTCTCCTGACAGTTGGTAAGGATGTAAAAGGATATATTTATGCTAACAACCACTATCTTTATAATAAAATTTACACACCGTTTACAATTTAACTGCATGAAATCTTTACATTGACAGCTATAAAAAGTTTGCCGTAAAAGGAAAAGACATTGGAACCCAACACACTTATCTCATAATATAATAGATCATTCAAAACCTTTTGGCTTTCAATAATTTATATAACAATTGTTTGCTGTCTCAAGAAAGTAGGAAATAGACCAATCGATAAAGTTACTTAATACGTGAACAATTTCATCTCCTGTTCTGTCATGGATCATTGTTTGTTTGCATCCGTTATTTGTTTAAATATTACAAATTATTGCGAGATAGGGGTATATTAGTGGCGTAAATAAAAACGCCAAATGGTGAATTACAAGGAATTGGACCGGGTACTTGTCACTTTTAGAATAAAACGTTACATTCCAAATTTATAATGCAGCAAAAAAAAAAAAAACCCAACCTTGCATGCTCAACCGTTATAAAAGGAACAAAATTTTTTCTGGTACTAACAACTACCTAAACCATAATGAGGATAAGTTTCAGAGTAATGAATCTATTTACTATCTTGATGTTTTTACTTACACATATAAACGTCCTTGTCTAAAGGCGGTGGAGGAAGGAGCGAGTGGATATCATCGTCCAGCACGTTCATGGACGTATTGTGACTATTGTTGTCATATCTCTCATTCTCTATGCTGCGCTATATAAGTCATTGCCGTTGATGCACGTCGAAGCGTAACATCAAAATTACCCGTATAATCAACACAAACAACAACACACCCACATAAGCTTTTCACGAAAAATTAAGAACAAAGAATTCCTTCGTCAACGAGACCCGGTAACTTTTCCGAAGCTCTGTAAAAGTTATGCAATTATTGTATTCCATCATATTATTATTATGCATCATCCCCTTTTAAGAAATCATACTGTATGCTTGTAACGGAAAATGTTGAAGATCAACACACAGACTCTCAGCACACAGTTCTCACAGATCGCTTCTCAGTCTGGGCCAATCAGCTATAAACCTTGGATCTGTACCATTTGTCACGACTGCTCATTTATCGAGAAGTTATCTTTACTACAACGTTGTTCACAAGCGAACATAAACAAGATGAGGAGAAGGAACGATTTTTATTCATTATTTCTTTGATAATTCGGAAATATAAGAAACGCTCCCGGTAATGTTAGTGCACCCTATGCAGACGACTTATTATTTTTTATATGGCAAAATACTCAATAATTTTATTGATAGATGTTAAGTTACAATTTCATTTTCGACACATATATGAGATCATTTATGATAGTATGATTATTGATAAAGATTTTTTTTATGCCATTGATAAGATACTATTTTTTAAATCGGTTTTTCATTATCTTTATAAAAAGCCAGCTATTGGCTAAAATTTATGCAGTGTTTGATCACTTGCCTGTATGCTCAATTTATTATAAAAGAACTAGTGGGTAGCATTAGGGGAAGGGGAGCTGTACAACAATCTCTGATAAGATAAAGTTGGCCTAAGAGATAAAACCGAGTCAGTTATAATAAAAAATGTGCTTGATATAATTATCAATTCATGATATAATGTTTTTAATTAGAACATTTTATATCACAAAGGGCTTGAAAAATTTTGTGGAATTGACATATCACAAAAGATTTTTATGTTATCAAGAGTGGCTGTGTAATTTGAGTTAAGTAAAATTTAAATAACTCAAGAGTTTTATTATTACGGAAATCTTTGAATAAATAGTGACCAAAGTCTTTGATTTTTTGTAATTTCATTCTCTTCAAATGCAGACAATCAAGTTTTCCCAGCTGAAGGCAACATAAACTTACCACATGCAAACATTGTGTCATCAATTGATAAATAATCGGGAATTTACAGGCAATGTCGTGCAGGCTCAAATATTATCCCTTCATTGGAAACTCAGATGGCTTCTCCTACATAAATAGAAATATTATGGATGTCGGGTTGTGCGACCTGGCAGGTAAATGCTTGATAATAATTATTATTAATAGGATATATGGAATTTTGCGTTCTTTATTTGTTTACACCTATGATTGAACGCTAAAGGTGTATTGATAGGATATATGGGCTCGCACATTACGGGATAGGTTAAATGCGCCAGAGAGGTGACGAAAAGTCGTGAAAGGATTAGAGTTTTCCGAACGTCCAAGTGAACAACTTAAGTAAATTGGGATTGCCAACGACGGTAAAACATCGGCACACGAGATATCTCTGTCGGATAGGATTCAGTTGAGGAGGAAACCGTCTTTTTCTAGTATTAATGCATGTTTTACAACAGGCAATTTTCCGAGTCATTTGGGTGATGAAACAGACCGACTTGTGGGAACATACTAACAAGTTATAGGTAAAATTATTGTTGAAAGGAACCTATTTGACTTTATCAGGTGTCAATAATTTTGAACAGTGACAACATGGCATGCATGGATAATAAAAAAACCGCACAGAATTTAGATAATGTTTAGTTCACGAGAAGGGCGCCAAGTATTTAGAGTGAAGGTATTAGATTCTTGTTTACAAAATTCGGGAATTGCAGAAGCAATCGGTCGGCAGCATTTTGTGTATTACGTGCTTCAAGAAATTAGAGTAAATACGAACATTGAATGCGCATACACTGTATATATAAC